TTATGTTATTTGCTCCATATTTGGTGTTTTTAACTTCTTGCTTTCTATGAAAGCTGACTAGTTGATAGCAGACTTATCACTGAGGTTTGATATGTTTTTAATTCCCATTTTCTATTTTTCCCTTAATATGGCTTATTTTTGGACTCATCACAAATGCTTTATATTCACTGAATAATTAAGCTACAAATGATGGCCCGCGTCCCAATCTAGTTCATAATTATCTTCCTTTCACCCACTTCAGACATTTATGCAGCTTAGCTTTTTTGTATGGCGTAGCACTGGGATCTGTGCTAGACAAGCAATTAAGCAATTTATGAGTGAGACCTATTCTTATAGCTTGAGAATAGAACGAAACAATTCAGCTGCTTCTGGATGCACCAATCTTTCCTTACCTGGGAATCAAACTTTTGAAGTTCCTGGTCTAGCACAGCTGTTCCTAGAAATTGAGGTCCAACATGTTTTCAAAATACCAGAATCGAAAAGGCTGCTGGAAACTTACTGACCCAGGCTAAGAGGGTGATGGGCATCCTAAAACCAGGGCATGGCCTCATTATTTTGTATGTATTAAAAGGGTTTCTGTAGCACATTTCATTATGAAGAATTCCACAAAGAGGGGCTACGAGTGCCTTTTCTTATGGGAGGCATATACAGTATTACCATTAGCTGCTTAGTCATTTGGCAGAGTTTAGGTAGTCCATAGAAATAACAGATTGTGGGATACTATTCACTATGAATTGCTATCAGGAGCACTTTCTGCCTATCATTAGCTGTCTCTTATCTGATATTTAATAGAACAAGCATGCCAAATGTAGTGCCCTTAAAAGTTTTTTTTAACGATCCTAGCCATGAAGTTGTTTGAAAGCTTAACTTTCAAACTGCTCACATTTATAACATGTTTTTATCTTTTATCCAAAAGCCTGGACAGTTGTGTGAATCACAGTGCTAATCCAGGAGTCTTCACCTTCAGACCTCTTACATCACAGTATGTCCATTTACTTTCAGATTTCTGTAGACTTCTGCTTTTTCATTTTTCTGGGTTATGCATTCAGGATGGGCCTCCATTAGGGCATGTTTCTTGCATATAAAGCCTGAGACAACATGCTTGGGCCTTTTTTGACAGTCCATTAATATGAAAATAGAGATAATATGTAGTTAGGGATTTTATTTAAAATTGGCCTAACCCACAATGAGATTTAATGCTGCAAATAGTCCCATTGCTTTAATGAAATTTAGGTCTATTTTTTCAATCGCATAAGCCCAATTTTTTAAATACACCTAAGGATCTTTTTAAAAATATAGAAATTGAATCTGGAGGCATTTCAAGTACCTTCACTCTTAAGGCACTTCACTCTCAATACATTGTAATGAGACAAAGCAGGAGGCATTCACAGAACACAGGGCATTTTGTTTCGATTGCTATTCTCCAGCTGCTCTTCTAGGACCTTACTATCTTTGACACGTGCATTTGCTGCAATACTTCTTTTATCTACTGGTAGATTCACCTTTTTGTCCCAGATACTCAGGACAAAAATGTCATTTAGGAGAACCCATCATTCCTTAGGAGAGTGCATCTGTGATTTCCTGGCAGGCATGTGGGTGAGAAGAGTAGCACAGGCATGCAGTTAGTGATAACTCCTTGTGTTGCCTCTATTGTAAAAAGTGAAAACAACCATTTTCCGGTGGTTTTTAAATGTTTTATTTCAGTGAACACAGTCCAATTTCAAACAATTAAAAGGCAGCAGTTCAACCATTTTAATACAAGTGGTGCACAAAATCCCTAGTATAAATAAATCTTTCACTGCTCTCATGAAATAATTTAATATTTTTAGAATAAAAACTGAAGAAATTGGCATGTTGAAACAAAATAGAATAGTTACTAGAGTAACAAACCCTTTTTGGTCTCAAAAGTGAAAGGTATTTAAAACGGAAACTAGGAGCTTCCTTTCTTGCAACTCCAACCAAGCCCACTTGGTGGGTTCTGAAAGGAACTCTGCCACACTTGATTTCACAACTGTCTTGCAGAGCTCTTGACTTCCTCCAGGGACTTCCTATTGCTCCCTCAACATGGCTTCTGCTTCAAGTCCATCATTTGCCAACCGTGCTGTCAAACATCCTTCAGTTTCACACAATGTGCAGTTCAGCCTCAGCCTACCGACTTGACCTCAATTACTGTAATCCTTGTGTCAGGCTGGGAAATTACTTCCTGAGCAAATAACTAAAGTATCTTGAAACTTCAGTGCAATTTTTTTTCTATTCAGTTCAGCCTTATTCGTATGCTGTCACCGTTCAGGCAGGTTAATAACTGGGACCCACTGATCCATGTAGCGGCTTTCACGGCAAAAGCAGATCAGCTGACTTAGGGCTGGATCCTTCCATTGCGAAGCATGTGGATTCTGTAAGAGGAGAAGAGACAGAAAACGTTCATTGTCAGCACAAAGTAAAATGCTGCTGACAATAAAAGTACCTACATATAAAAGTCACAAAATGCTCTAGGTAAGACTGCAATGCAACACTTATTACTGGGGGAAAGTTCAGTTTAATGTTTTCAATTCTTGTATTGCAATAAAGCAAAAAGGGTTGCATTATTCATTTCTGGGAAAATTTAAACCTGTTTTGTTTAAAATATCCAGGAGTTCATCCTAACATAGCTTTTCCCCCCTCTATAACTAGTAAAAGGGGCAAAAAAGCTCTCTAACTTAAAAAAAAGTATTTGCTTTTTAAAAAACAACTGCCTGTAATAAGATTTGGATAAAAAAATAAGAAATCAATAACATTTTATTCATATGTTTAGCATTATGCATATAGTTCACAATACAGAAAATGTGTTTTTGCATGAACAGCCAAGGAATTTTTTTTTTTAGACAAAATGTATAATTAATGTTTGCAGTTCTGGTCAAATAATGGATTGACCTATTCAGAAATACTGGCTGAATTCCTTTATTGTAGTAACTTGAATGTAAAAAAAAAAATTAAATATTGTAAACCTACTTCTTGAAATATGTCTTCTGAAGTTATTAATAATTCAGCAGTTCCCAACTCACATTCAGACCACAAATTAGCACTAAATAACAGTGACCAGTTTTTTAATCACACCAAAGTAAATTATCTAATAATGACCTCTGAGCTAATTAGTAATAGGGAAAGACAAATATAGGCAGGGAGTTACTGTAGGAAGGTGACTCATGGGGTTGTACTCTCCTGTTTTCAACAGGATGAAACATGTTTGTACAGATCTTTGCTTTCATATGCTCTATAAGCAAAGAAAGGGCTGTGATACAATTCGTGCAGAGGAAAAGGTTAATTAAAGCAAACGCCATGAAAATTCTCACTTAGGACCAGATGCAGGAAGGTAAGAATGCTAGAAGTTCAGGCTCACTTAGGCTACACTTACAGCCAAGTAGGCCAGGAAGAAGCAACAGAGGAGGTTATCCTGTCCCAGTAGGACTTATGCCCTCATTTGTTAAGAAAAATCAGGACTTACTGTTACAAGCACACAGTGCAGGTCTGCAGGCTGTTCACCTCCTCCACTTGCCCCTAAAAGCAGAAGCTCTGCAAGGCGGCTTGGGTTGCTCACTCGAAGTATGTTAATGTCATTTTCACAACAAAAAGCTTGAATCAGGGTGAAGTGAATTTGTAAAGCAACATCCTGGTTGTCTTCCTCATCTGCTGCCAGTAGACAAAGCACCACATTATCTGGATCCCTGCAGGGATAAAACAATACAGATTGCATTATTCACAGCCTGACAAACAATGATAGGTGTATTTTATAATGAGGAACTAAGACAAAACAGGAACTGAAGTCATGGAGCATATTACAAACATGGGAAATAATTCTGTCTGGGTATAACTTAAAGCACGGACATTGTCTTATATGGGCTTGAACTTCAGATGACAGGAACTGAATTTTAAATGCTCAGCATCCATAGTTCCAGTTTAGAGTGGAAAAAAGATTTTTTTAAAAAATGCAGTCTGATGACATTTTAGCATCAAAGCAAAGGGCACATTAGCAAAACTGCTGATTAGCAGTTCCCATTAGATCAACTGTCACTTGGTGCTTAGAACTCTTGCATTGTGGGTAAATGGGGGAGAGAAATAAAATAACTACAAATGCGGTACTTATAGTACACACAGACCTGGGCACACCTGTATTGGCAAGAAACTCAGGGAATTTTTTTTTATGCCTGCATAATGCATGTTCAGGACTTGGACTCCCAACAGATCATTCCCACCCTGATGTTTCCTCAGGTAGATCAACCCATAAACACTGAAGTGCAGTAACACAGTGAAGACCATGAGAAGACCCGGTTGTTGTGGCTACTAGTCAAGACAGTAAGGCACCAGCACATCAATCTCCACTTACACATTGAGTAGTTTGGCAGCTTCATACACCCCAATGGTGATGCTTCTCTGAGTCAGGGCTTTGCTCAGGACTTCTTCCAGGGCATCCCCCACCTTCTCCATGCTGGCAGCCAAATGGGGGGAAAAAGAGGTTTCAAAACCCAGACTAGAGCCAAAATGTAACAATGCTAATTATAATCAAAGATCATCATTACACATTTTAGGGGCCGTTTCTCTTGGCTAGGTTTCCAGCCCCCAGGCCCTCACCCCCCACTCCATGCTGCAAAGCCAAGGACCCGGCAGCTGAGCTGAAAACTCCTCTCAACTGGACCCGATCAGCTCCTAAGGAAGCAGCGAGGGGGAGGGCATCCCGGGGGAGGGGGGAATCGTTTCTACACATTGGAGCGACCACTGGTCTAGGCTTGTTCTCCTTATTCCTGTGTCCTGTCAGGGAAAGGCCATGCCGCCTTCTCCTCACTCACTCACTCACGCACGCACGCACACTCACACACACACGCTGCCTCCCCTAGTTTCTACTCCCACACAGGCGCAGATCTCCCTTCTCCGCGCCGCCTCTTCCCAGATCGCCTTCAGGCATCTTTGCACCGCGGCTGGCCTCCCCGTCCCCTCCCCCGCCCAGCTGTGAGGTGGCAGCGACGGTCGCCGGCCGGCTGAGCA